AGAGAAGGGGAAAAATGAGAACAAAACAGCACCTTTTGATAATCTTGTCGTCAATATCAGTAATGTTCATGATGAACTGTACATCATAGCCGAAGTATGAGGTCATTATCCGCCGAAGGATATCGACAGATAGATAGGTTCTTGCATGACCCATATGTGAACTATCATAAACAGTTGGCCCACAGATGTACCACTTCACCTAAACAAAAGCTTTATATTCATTTTTCATTATCAACAGAGCATCAACTATCAACGGATATGAGTAGAACTAACCACGTTGCCTTGATTTGGAACGAATAAATCTTTCCGCCGAGTAAGACTGTTGTACAGGTATAGCTGGGGTAGTGGTTGGGAATTGGTCGGCACACTCCATTCCTTCTGTGCTCTTTTACCTAATCCTGAAAGAATTGCATGAAGTAAGAAAGAGAAGGGACATGAAAAAAGGGCAGTGCTACAGAATGAACCAAAAGGAAGGGTAAACGAACCTGTCGATGTTATAGAATTGGAAGCCATTGAGGATAACGACCTGGCCGCACTCCTGACGGTCACACAAATACCTCCGACGAACAGAATGCTTCCTATGCGAATTTACGTGACAAATCGGGTAGAAAACCGACTCGATGAACCGAAAAAGGTGCAGCCAATGTAATAGGGAACGGCAGTGCAGCTCTCCCGCATCCAAACTGGCGCGGGAAACTGGTTCCATTTGGGTAAGATTAGGGATAGTTCAAAAAAGTGGTGCTGAGTAAGTTGCCCCTGGGCGATTACACGAACAACGCATGGGTTTTGTACTTCCAACAGCCTGTTCCCACATAACTAGCTTTGAGAGGGTTCAATGAGAATCAATAATAGAAACCGCAACCGTTAAGGTTCCTTACTTTACACGAATGCGACCTAAAACGGTGAAAAGGACTTCTGCACGAAAAGAAGGAGTATAAATATAAATAATGAGACTAGTTGGATTGTACCATGTACCTTGTATTTAGCCGTACCTTGTGTGTGTTGTGTGCAGCTTCACCACGTGCACTCTTAGACGTCCAATTTCATCAGGTTTGCTATTCTGGCTGTGAACTCTGGAATAGTGCGGTAATTACAATTGCTTTTATCTACCAGACGAAGCATCTGCAACAAAATGAGATGGAAGCGGAATTCGGAACCTCTCGGATAGGGATTCTATAGTTCTGGGATCTCTAGAACCCGGGGAACGTCATGCTGCTGCGAAAGCCTGATTGACTTATTTGGTTCCCCTCGGCTGTGTTTTGTAAACGACAGGAGCATCGATGGGCATTTTAATTGTTTTAATTCAGGGAGGGGGTTCTCAGTAATCAAAAAGCTACAAAAATGAATTGCCTTCCGCTGGGAAGAACAAATTCTCCATGTTCACGGACATTGGGAGAAACGAAACAAATCAAAACCAGGGGAACATGGATAAACAAGAAAGCGAAGCA